GTGTCGCTGTACGTGGCCGCGGCCGTGTCCAGCCCTCCTGCGCCGGGCGCCTGGCCCACGTCGCCAGCAACGGTGTTGAGGATGGCGTCGAGGCCGCCGCTCGCAATGTTCCAGCCATCCATGACGCCGACGGCAGGCGAGGTCTGGAGGTCCGGACTGGCGCCCGACGGCCCGAGCAGATGCAGGTCGGTGCCGTTGAGCATGGACGAGAGGATCGAGTACTCGAGGCTGGTGGCCTCACTGCCGAAGTTGTGCGTCGACGGGTCGAAGGTGAGGTCGAGCGGGAGCCCGGCACCGCCTGAAGGCAGCGCATCGCCTGCGGACGAGTCGAGGGTGTTGCTGGAGAGGTAGTCGTGCTGGTGCGGCGATGGGCCGTGACCGGACGAGCTCGGCGTTGGGACGCTGCCCACGGTGACCTGGTCGAGGATGCTGCTGACAGCCGATGCCTTTTCGGAAGGTGGAGCAGCGGCAGACTGCTGAGCTGGTTCTTGTTTCGGTTGATTCTGTCGCGCGCCGGCGGCGTTTCGTTGCTGCTGCTGCGCCTGCTTGGCAGCCTTCTTGGCCTCCTTTTGCCGCTTGAGCTCCTCGAGCTCATCGTCGTCCAGCAGGTACTTGGCCTTCTTGCGGTGCCCATCCATGCACGACTCGGCCAAACCCTTCTTGACGCAGCGCTGGCACGGCCTCGAGTCGTCGCAAGTGAGATGCGCCTTTTGGCAGTGAAGACAGGCTCGATTCGCCTTCTTTCGTTTGCTCGCGGCGGACTCTTTGGCTGCACTAGCGCTGCTTGCTGCACCTGCGGAGTCTGACCTGCTGAGCGCCGGCGATGCGGTCTTGCTGTGTGCGGTGGCGGGCGATGCAGTCTGCTGTTTTGTGGAGAGGTCGACCTCCTTCTTGAGCGGCGAGCCGGACGGCGAACGAGCCGCTGTGGCCGCTGACGACTTGGATGCAGAAGACGCCGAGTTCGAGTAGAGGCTCTGGTTGAGGATGGACGAGGAGGCGGAGCGCTGGTTGGAGGACGAGGGAGCTCCGCCGCCTGACGCATTGGAAGGTCGGTAGCTCGAAGTGCTCGAGCTGGCGGGTGGGCTGGAGGCGAGGGCAGCGAGTGTAGAGGCTGCGGCATGCGAAGCAGGACTCTGCTGACGTTGGGAGTTGGTGGTGGATGGATGTGGTGGGAGCGTATAGTTGGTTGGGGCTGCGGAGCCGGAGGACGGCGGGCGCGGAGCCGACTTGCTGCCGTTTGCACTCGACATGGCGAGTCAGCTATGTGTGCTATGTGCACATGCGAGGCGTGCGGTGCCGTGACTGGAGGGGCTGGAAGGGAAGCAGCGCGGCTCGAGTGTCGACGAGCTGTGCGAACGTCGCTCCGGTGAAACGCCGAGGCGTGTGATGAGTTGGAAACTGGCGACGGATGGATTCGTTGCTGGTCGGACAGGACGCGTCTCACAGCTTTCGTTTGGCGGTGGAATCTGTAGTCTGAATGTGACGACCGAAAGGAAGCGTGACCGAGGTGCGATGGCGGAAGTGTGACGGGACAAAGATCGAGGGTTGTGGATGGTGAGAGAGCGACAACCGACGGCAGACGGACCGATGTGACGCGCCTCTGAAAGAAGCGGCCGCAGCTGCAGGGCCGAGCTCTCTCTCTCTCTCTCATCCCTTCTCGGCTCTGCTCGCCTGCTGGGCGCGAGAGCCCCGCGTCCCTTTTTACAAATTCAAAATGTTAGTACGACCGTGCTGGCAGTCGTCGTCCTTGGATCGAGCCTTCATCATATGCGTGTGGGCTTTGCAGTCTCACCATTGCGCCTTCTGCTTCATGAAGGGAAGAAGGGTGGCTCGAATGCGTGCACACTGTCCGAGCTTGGCACCATAGAGGAAAGAAGCGCGAGAAGATCTCATTTTAACGGGTACAGATACAGTGGGCAGGAGAGTACGGGCGAATCCTGGAGGTGACGACGGAGGGTGCACAACAAGTGCATGCGAAGGACGAAGAGGTCGAGAGAAGGCGACTCAGAAGAGCCTGGAAAACATTCGCTTGATAAAGTCGATGCACCATGGGATGTACGAGAGCGAGTAGAGTAGAAAGGCGACACTGGCAAGGCGAAGAATCCAACGGGTAGAAGGTCAGCAAGCATGCAAAGGGGGAAGGCGGAGAGCGACAGTGACGACTTACTATAGGACGATGACAAAGATGATGGCGAGCACGGTGCTGCCGATGGCAAATACGGACACCCAGACCATGATGAAGGCGACGATCATGACGAGCGTAAAGGTGATGCGCACGGGCTTGAACATCTGCTTGAACTGCTTCATGAATCCGATGAGGAAGCCGGTGCCTGTCAGCGACACGAGCACTCCCACCGAGTAGAGCACGACAAAGATGGCCCAAGAACCTGTGACGAGCAGGACGGTGCCGAGGAGCGAGATGACGAAGCCGCCGAGCATGCAAGCTGCAAAGCCGATCAGACGCTGCTGACGCGTGAGCTCGATGCCAAACGTCTTGGAGAAGGCATCGCTCTCGCCGGTGAGTTCGCCGCCCATGTTCTTGATCTGATTCGTGTCCATGTTGATCCATCGAGATGGTCCGGTACCTGCGAACGCCGACGAGGCGCCTCCGCCCGAAGCGTTGCCGCCTTTCGAGAACCAGGACATGGGTGCAGATGCGGGGTTGTGACGAGTCGCAGAGTCCTTCTGCGTGATTCCAGGGTTTGTGTGAATGTGGCAGAATGCTGTGCTTTGCGTGGATACCGGGCGTGAAAAGGTCGTTAGGATCGTGCTGGATGGCGTAGCTGGTGGTCACGTCGAACGATGCCGAGCGCGTGTCGCAGGCGGCTGTGCTGCAATTTCCCAGGTGTTGGTCGCAGCCCTTTGCGACTCCGCTGAGCTGCACAGCTGCCGGACCCTGACTGCGAGGCTCAAAAAAGTAGAAATCACTCTGTGCGCACTGCTCGCTACGCCTAGCCTGCCTTCCCTGCCCCTTTGGCTCCACGGTTGGCACGCACCACTCGGCACTCGTCTGCTTTGCTACAGCCGTCGCATTCGCACTCATCTGCATTCTCATCTGGCGAGTCTATGGCCCAATGGATCCAGCATTGCGCAGCTCGGCGACCTCGGCTTCGGACATGCCCAGCTCTTGCGTCAGCACCTCGTCCGTGTGCTGTCCGAGCACGGGTGGTGGTCGTGTGATCTTCATCTTGCCGCCGCCGTATCGCACTGCCGGAGCGACGATCTTGATCTTGCCCGCCCTAGGATGCTCCACCTCGGCCACCACCTTTCTGTCTTTGCTCTGTGGATGCTCGTCGAACGTGCCGCGGATGTTGCGGATGGGCGCAGCGGGGATCTTGCCGTTGATCAGGTCGCACCACTCCTGCACCGTCTTGGCCTGCAGCAGCTGGTCGAGCAGCGGGATGAGCGTATCGCGGTGCTCGACGCGCGCCGCATTGGTGGCATAGCGCTCGTCCGTAGCCAGCTCGGGTCGTCCGAGCAGCTTGCTCAGGAACCGGAACTGGCCATCGTTGCCCGCGCCCAGCATGATCCGCCCGTCCTTCGCCTGGAAGGTCTGGTACGGTACGATCGACGGATGCTTGTCGCCATGACGCCCAGCCTCCTGCCCGGCGATGAGGTAGTTGGACGCAATGTTGGCCAGGCTCGCAATCTGCGATTCGAACAGGCTGGCATCGATGTGTACGCCCTTGCCCGTCTGCGCGCGTCCCAGCAGCGCAGCCATGATGGCTCCGTGCACGTACAAGCCCGTGGTGAGATCGGTCATCGCCACGCCGATTTTGACGGGCGGCCGGTCCGCCTCGCCCGTGATGTGCATCATGCCGGCATCCGCAGCGATGATCACGTCGTAGCCAGCCTTGTCTCGATACGAGCCCGTCTGTCCGTATCCCGTAAGACTGGCATAAATGATGTCGGGCTTGATCTTTTTGAGGTCCTCGTATCCGAGGCCCATGCTCGCCAGCTTGCCAGGCAGGTAGTTCTCCACCACCACGTCAGCGTTGGCCACGAGGTCGTAGATGATCTTCTTGCCCGCTGGCGACTTGAGGTCCACGGTGATCGAGCGCTTGGAGCGGTTCACGCTGAGAAAGTACGCCGACTCGGGCGGCAACGACGCCCAGTAGTCTTCCTTTCCAGGGGGAGGCTGCAGCGCATCCTTGCCCGTCGGGGGCTTGGCGAAGGGGGGCAGCCATGCGCGCGTGTCATCGCCGCCGCGAGGATGCTCCACCTTGATTACATCCGCGCCCAGGTCTGCCAGGAGCATCGTGCAGTATGGCCCGGCAAGCACGCGCGTCAGATCGACGATGCGGATGCCCTTGAGAGGCGGCGGTATGGATGGCTCCTCAGCCTCTGCTGTGGCCGATGCGCTCGACCGTCTAGGTTGGCTGGTGACAAACGTTCTTTGCTCGATCGCGGCTGCGAGTCTCTGTGGTGCAGTTGAGGATTGGCGAGCCGCAATCGCTGCTGCTGCCATGGTGAGCCCTCTCGATGGTGCAGGTGCCGCCATGCGCATCGAGTGTGCACGCAGAGCAGGCCGCACCCAGCTCGAGGCGCGAGTCGTCATCTTGAATACGCGAATCAGTGTTGTCGACGGCGTGGTGGTGGAAAGGTCGGTCGCGTGCCGCTTGCCTTTTCTAGGTGCGAAGATGACGCTGAGCCGCCTCCGGTTGTGGCAGCTGGGTTGGTAACCGAAGTTGCCGATGCAAGCGCTGTTGCCGCGTAGGCTCTGGTCTGTGCGATTTGCATCGGTCGCTCAGTCGGCTCCATCGGCCGGAGTGTGAGGAGCCCGATGCGCGTTTGGCTGCGGACGAAGCGGGATTTAGGCGGCAGAGCCACCCTTCCCCGCACTTTCTCGGCGTTTTCGACCGACGCCTCCACTCGTACCGCCGCTACCACTGCTCAGCTCGATTCAGGTCCACCAACTCCCCACAGCAATCTCGAGACGCCAGACACCAACATGTCGGCTCGCAAGATCATCACGCCGCTCTCGCGCGTGCTGCCCTCGGTCAAGACACCGGTCGTCCTCGGCGCCATGGCCGGCGCTTCGGGCGGCCAACTCGCAGGCGCCGTCTCGTCGGCAGGCGGATTCGGCTTCATCGGCGCAGGCTACCTCACACCATCGGTGCTGCAGAGCGAAGTGGAGAAGGCATACCAGCAGCTATCCGTATCGCATGCCGATCTGATCGCTGAGCGTAGACGTGCAGACTTTGGCATCGGCATCCTCGTCTGGAGACTCACCGAGCTCAACGACGGCAAGCGACCCGACCAGGCATCACCCAACAAGAGCGTATCGGACTTTCTCGATGTCATCGTCCGCGCCCGTCCGCGTGCGGTATGGCTGAGTTTTGGAGACGAGCAAGAGCTCACCGGCTGGCAGAAGGTCATCGCCAAGCTCGACGAACAGCACAACAACGACTTGCAGGCCAGTGAAGCCGAGTCGCTCAAGTGGTTCGTCATGATTGGTCGCGAGCAAGAGCTCCAAGCGGCGGTGGAGAAGTGTAGCTGCGATGTGCTCATCGTCCAGGGCTGCGAGGCGGGTGGTCACGGACATTCGCAAGCTCCTCCACTGTCGGCCTTGCTCGCCGACACGCTCAAGCGCCTGCCCACGCTCAAGCCCAACAACGCAACCCACTCCACACCGCCCGTTCTCGGCGCTGGCGGTCTTGCGGATGGGCGCTCGCTGGCAGCGCTTCTCGCCTCCGGTTGTGCGGGTGGAGTGTATGGCACGCGGTTTGTGCTCACGCCCGAGTCCACCTACTCGCAGGTGCAGAAGGAGCAGCTGGTCAAAGCCAAGGGCTCAGCCACTCTGCGCACCTTCGCGTTTGACGATGCGCGTGGCACACTGGGATGGCCACAGGGCACCGACGGTCGTGGTCTGCGCAACAAGACGGTGGAAGAGTACGAGCGAGATGTGCAGCAAGAGGTCAAGGCAGGCACCCAGGATCCCGAGGGTGCCAAACGGCGCATGGAGCGGTACAAGCAGGCCGCCAGCGAGAACGACACTGATCGCATCGTCATCTGGGCCGGCACAGGTATTGGCGCCATCGACGCCATCGTGCCTGCCAAGCAGGTCGTGCACGACATCACACACGAGGCGCTCGAAGCGCTCTCACGCGTGCAGGGCTATGTGCAGTAGAGACTATGCTTTTAGAATTACACTACTCGTGATCGGTGAGACACCTCAGGCCTGCTTCTGGCTGCGTTCTTCGAGCGTCTTCCACTCCTGCACGATGTCCGTGTAGATCTGCGTTCTACCGTCGCGCGGTCGACAAATCACCTGCACACCGCCCTCGACCTTGTCCTGACCCTGCGCGGTCAATCCAGCCTTGGCGGCCTGTCGCGACTTGGTGGCGTGTACAAAGTCGTCGAACTGCGGCGATGCTTCGCCCTGGGGCAGCTGGGTGCGGCTCCATCCCCACACGGCCTTGTACGCCGCGCCGACGGAGCAGAAGTTGTAGTTGGCTGCGGTCCAGCCCTTGCCGTCGTCGCTGGGCTGGACAGGCTTGACGATGTCGCAGCCAAACACATCCGCCATGGTCTGCGTGATGGTGGTGTTGGACGACGCTCCGCCCACGGCGTAGATCGAGGCGAGTGGCAGTTTGGACGTGTCGGGCGACGACGAGGTGCCTGCAACGATCGACGATGATCGGTAGCGGTAGTTGAGGAACTGCGTCTCGAGGATCGCACTCGCATTCATACCGGCCTCGTCAAAGTCGTCCACCTTGTTCCAGTCGGACTGCGACGAGGCTGTGGTGTAGCGATGCACGCCCGACGCACCGGCAGGGATGATCTCGGGTCGCAGCCAGTAGAATCCGACACGCTTGTGCGAGGTCGACTCGATGCGGTGTTTCTCGACGTCGGCGTTGAACGTGTCCCAGTCGGCATTGCAGTACTGATCGCGCACCCACTCGCGCGCCAGACTGCCCGACTTGTACACGAGCATGTTGAAGAAGCGCTGGCCACCGTCGGGGCTCTGCGCAGGATGGAAGAAGGCGTGAAAGTCCGGATCGGGCACATACTGGTCGGTAGCCACCATGACCGTGTCCGAGGTGCCCAGGCTGATGATCGCCTGCCTCTGCGCAAGACTGAAGGCGAGGAAGGTGGCCGGGTTGTCGCCGGTACCGGGGAAGATGTGGCAGTCGTCGCTGAATCCGTAGCGCTGCTTCCACCAGCTGCCGATCTTGCCCACCGAAGCGCCGGCGTCGCGGTAGACGACTCCGAGTTTGCGCTCGAGCTCCTCAGCCCCACCGAGCGAGCCGTCGCCATCCGTTTCGCCCGAAGCAAGCGCCAGCAGCTTCTGACACCAGCCGGGCTCGATCTTTCCGACGCGCTCGTCGGACGATCGGGAAGAAGCAGGTCGCATGTCGAGCAAGTTCATGCCGCACGCATCCGACTCATCGATGCCCTTGATGACCGACTCTGCATCCTCGCCCTCACCGACGCAGAGCATGGTGGTGACGAAGCTCGAGACGAGGCCGATGCGTTCGGTGTCCTTGTACGCCTCGGGCTGCTGCTTGCGGAACTTGTAGATCTGCGGTCCCGTGAATCGCGTGTGTGCCTTGGAGCCAGTGACCTCAGCCAGCGCCTCAGCGCCACCCATTGCATCTTCGAACGCACGACACGCTTCGACGGTGGAAGAGTCCTGCCAGTTGGGTACGACCTTGCGGCTGAACGCACGCTCCACCTGCGCCGTCAGCGTCTTGTCCGACGCGAGCGTGGTGAGGATGTGCGGGGCGGCGCGCGAAAAGTAGACCGAAGCGTGCTGCTGTCCTGCAGCAGAGATGGCGCGGATGCGCGCAAGCGGCCAGGCGGCCTCGCGCATCTTGTCTCCGAGCATGTCGAGCGCTTCGACGTACAGCATGACGGGCGCCAACACAGTGCCCTGATCGTCATCAGCGGTGGGTGCGGACACGCCGCCGTTGGTGCCATAGTGCGGAAGGTCGCGGTCGAAGCGCACCTCGAGCTCACCCAGCACCGTAAGGTGGGTGTCGAGCAGCGAGGCCTTGAGTGCCTGCGTGCTCGCGTCAAGGCCGAGGAAGAGCGCTTCGGTGCTTTGCATTATGAAATCTCTGTTGCTGAAGGAGGTGGGAGCGGGTCGGAAGCAAGGGTTGCGAGCGCAGTGGAGACTTATATGGCCGGGCCTCGAAAGCAGTTGCGAGCCAAACACCACAAGAGGTGTGGGCCCCGCACAGAAGGGAGAGAGACAGCCGTGCATGGCGCAGGTCACCGGTGTCGGTCTTCTTGCCAAGTTGCACCGACGGCGCGGCGTCAGAGATTGCCGACGCGGAGCCTGCATTGTCCAGATTCCCGGGCTCCACATTTGACATGTTAGACTCCGGAACACGATTCTCACTGTTAGGCCGTCATTGGATTCGCCCTTCCCCGGACGGCAACGGCTCTCAGGCACACTTTGTTTGCTCGCCCGAAAGCCAAAATGAAGCCAAAATGCCGCACAAATTTGGAGGCAGCGAACGGCACTTTCTGACGCAATCAACACGCCCAAGACACCTGGGCCCGCTCGTCCTCACTCGCCTCCTTCCGAACCACATCCTACCCGACCATTGCCAGCCTTTCTTTTGTGCTGTCGCTCATCGTTTGAAATCTCGCCAACCTCTCGCGGTCTTGGAGCCAAGCCGAGATCCAGATCGTATCCAACCACTGAACTCCGCTCGCTACCTTAGCTGAGCTGACGTCCCATGCAGCCCAGCTCGCATCTCACCTCTTCCAACGCCCTCATGATCAACACTTACGGCCCCAACTCCGTCTTCTCCGCTCAATAACACAGGCTTCTCGTCCTGAGGGACAACTCCTTTTGACTTCTACCCATCCCCAATAAGCTGGCTCCACGCTGATCCAGCATCGATCAGCCCGGACAGCCATCAGTCAACATGCCCGCTCACGTCGTAGAGGTGGACATCACCGAGGTGTCCAAATCGCTCGCCGTGCTCGGCGGCTTCATCATCATCTATGGCCTCCTCTCGTACGTAGTCAAGGAGCGCCTGTACCTTTCGGAGCCCCTCCTCGCCGTCACCGTAGGCATCCTCGTCGGTCCCTACGTGCTCAACTGGGTCGATCCGCTCAGTTGGGGCACCACCGAGGAGACCAACTATGTCACCTACCAATTCACCCGCATCGTCGTCGGCATCCAGGTCCTCTTCTGCGGTATATCGCTGCCCAAGGCGTACTTGTGGAAGGAGAAGTTCTCGCTCGTCATTCTTCTCTTCGGCATCATGACTACTGCTTGGTTCGCCACGGCGCTGCTCATCTGGGGGCTCATCCCCAACCTCACCTTCCTCGAGAGCTTGTGCATCGCCGCCGCCGTGACGCCCACCGACCCCGTTCTAGCCAACTCGATCACCACCGGCCGTTATGCCGAAAAGCACGTTCCTGCCAACGTGCGCAACATCATCGTGGCCGAATCAGGCGCCAACGACGGCTTGGGCTTCCCCTTCCTCTACCTCGCCATCTACCTCTTGGCACGTACGGGCGAGGACGTAGGATCGAGCGTCGGCACCGAGGTCGGCCGCTGGGTCTATGCGGTCGTCATCTACCAGATCCTCCTCTCCATCGCCTTTGGCTCGCTCATCGGCTACCTGGCTCGCAAGACGCTCAAGTGGGCCGAATCGCGCTCGTACATCGACAAGGCCAACTTCTTCGCCTACGGCCTCGGCCTCGCCTTTTTCACGCTCGGCACCACGGGCCTGTTTGGCTCCGACGACATCCTCGCCTGCTTCATCGCCGGCAATTCGTTCACCTGGGACGACTGGTTCCGCGTGCGCACCGAGGACAACGACTTCCAGGAGATCATCGACACCGTGCTCAACATGACCGTCTTTGTCTACATCGGCGCCATCATCCCCTGGGCTGCCTATTCCGACCCGGAGCTGCAGATCACCGGCTGGAGGGTCGTCGTGCTCGCCATCCTTGTCCTCCTCCTGCGCCGACCGCCCTGGGTCATCGCAGCCACCAAGGCGATTCCGGCGTTCCGAGACTTTAAGGAATCCGCCTTTGCGGGCTGGTTTGGCCCTATCGGAGTTGGCGCGGTGTTCTACATCCAGGTTGCCTTGAAGCAGCTCCCTGACGACGGCACCCGCGATCGGCTCCAGGCGATCTACGCGCCGCTGGTGCTCTTCATGGTTTTCGCGTCGGTGCTCACCCACGGCGTCACCATCCCCGTCTCGAAGCTCGGGCCGGGCGTCGTGCGTCGTACGGCGACGCTGACCAAGACGCGTTCGATCACCTTTTCGCGTCCCATGAGTCGCAGCAACACGATCCAGGCCAACACCCTGCAGAACGGACGGCAGGGGTCACCTGAAGGCTCGGATCAGTCGGGTGCAGGTCGCGGCACGCACTCGTCTGGCACCTCTACGCACGGACACGTGGGCTACAACGAAGAGGGCAAGCCGTTGTGGAATCCGCTGGTTGCCACCGTCGACTTTGGCGTGCATGTGCTGGCGTTCTGGAGGAAGGACAGCTTCTGGCGAAAGGACGTCTCGCCAGGCAAGCACAATGCGCTCGGTGGTCATGGTCAGGGTCACCCTGTTCGTAAGACGGACATCTCTGCGCCTAGCCGCCCCATCAAGCAGCGCAGTGTCGAGGAGGACGCCATTGCCAGCGTGATCAACGAGAGCAACGGCGGTCAAGACATTGGGCTGGCGCAGATCGAGGCGGAAGCTGAGCAGCGCAAGTCGCGACTGCCGCCTCCTACGCTCGAGCTGCCGACGTCGTCCAAGGCCATGCCGAGCCCGATCCTGCAGAGTCCTTCGACGTTTGGCTCGCGTCCCACCTCGGCTGGCGAGGGCAAGGCGGTCGAGAAGCCCGAGAAGCCCGAGAAGCCCGAGATGCCCGCTCTGACGCGGACCGTGTCTCCGCGTCGATTTGCGATCCTGCGCGCACTCGGCAAGGAGATCCGTGACGAGCGCGACGAGGCTGATTCCGAGGCGCTCAAGGGCTGGGAGCGCGGCGAGGAGNATTTGCGATCCTGCGCGCACTCGGCAAGGAGATCCGTGACGAGCGCGACGAGGCTGATTCCGAGGCGCTCAAGGGCTGGGAGCGCGGCGAGGAGCGAGAACGCAAACGCCTGCGCGAGATGCTCATGCGCAGCGGCTCCCAACCCAAGCCGTCGGAGCCAAGTGCTGACGCGGATGATGCACAGGAAGCACGTGATGCCCAGGAGGCGCTTGTCGACGGCGGTCCCAGGAACGAAACTGAGGCAGACGCCCAGTCCACCCATTCGTCCCAGCGCAGAACGCTGCGCTTCGTCTAAAGTCAATCCCTTAGCCTTGCCTTTTTCCCTCGATAAATAAAGCTCCCTCGCCCATCACCTCCCGCCGATCTTTCCCTACCTTTTCTTCCTTTGACGCCTGTCTCACTTCTCTAAAGCCTTTTGCCCATCCGGCATCATACAGTACTCTCTTTGGAGTACGTATGCGGCATTGTACGAAGTCGCATGCTTCCCTTTACATTTGGATGTGGAATGGCACCAGTTCAAACCTCGTATGCGCAATGTATCGTAGTCGTTGCAAGATGATGGCGACACAGGCAGCATCAAAGCGCGGAGCCCGGATGTTGACCCGACGAGGTTGAGTCAAAGCACCGCCGGGGTCGAGGTACAGCAGTGCAAGCTGAGTTCCACACATGAATGGATGCAAACGATTCAGCGCCACGACTCCTACTCACTCGAAAGGGGGTGTAGACTGTCGTGCTTCACGAAATTGATGTTCATGAGTCGTCGGTTCGAATGGACATGGCTGAGTCGGAGATGAGCTGCGTCGCCACACAGACATCGACAACGAGTGGCACCGGGTCTGGTTGGAAGATTGCGACGGCGGCGCGTCGCATCTGGGTATCGCGTGTCGCTGATTGGGCCTGCTCGATCAGTGAGTGGGCGCTAAAGTGATTGCCACCGAGACATCAACAAGGGTGGCACTGCTTGAAGACGAAAGAGTGCGACGAGGGCTGTGGCGTTGCTTGCTGAGATTGCCCCCCACACGTGAGTGGGCGCTAAAGTGCGGGGCTGTGGCGTCGACGCTGCAGCCCCACCTGCTGATTGCGCTGTCATGAGGTGGCGTCTCGGCGGGCTGCGCTCGTATGAAGCTACCCATGCGTCGCCCCACTTGCTCCCCAGAGGAGTCGCCACACACATCTCTGTCTCGGGGCTAGTGTCGTTGCACACTGCTCTCGTGTCTATATAAGGCGGCCTGCAACCTACACGCCCCTGTCTCGTCACCGCACACAGTCGACTTTTTTCACCATGTTCTTCCGCACTGCCGCTCTCGCTGCCTTCGCCCTGGTCTGCATTGCTCAGACTGGACGATGCGACGACTCTAGCACCGATTCAGGCTTCTGGAAGCCGACTGGTGCCCCCTCAACCACCGGTCTAAAGGTCGACAGTAACCAGGTAATGGCGTACTGCTTCTCGAACAAGCCGACGGAGAAGGTCCCCTTTGCCTGTTTTACGCTCAAGGGAGATATTCGCCAGCGCATGCGCAGTCCCCAGAATCTCAAGGGCTACATTTCCCCCGGTGGCGAGAGTAAGTCGCTCCAACCCCATCACTTGACAAGAGACAGAGCCCCGGCTGACGTTGGCTGTTTTGCACGGTAGCCTTTGTGGTATTGGCCCAGGTCGGTGGACAGTCGTTCACCACCGAGGTCGAAAGAGTCACCCTCACGGATCGCGATGATCAATCCAACTGCCTCCATGTCAAGCTCGATGGACTGCCTCAAGGTGCCGCCGAGGATGAGATGGGCCAAACCTTCTTTCCCAGTTACGATCGCGACGCCTGCCCCGGCAAGCCTGCCATTCACCTTCAAGACGCCCCCTGAGCAGACAACGGTAGACCAGTGGTGCATCGCCCACAGCCGGTCTTTCGAGTCTCGATTCATGCCCCGCATTCAATCATCCACCGTCCTCCATTGATCGTGCTCTGTCGTCCACCGTTCTACATCCCTCGTCTTCGAGTCAAGCTAGGCCACGACCTCTCCTACTCACACGCACCAGCCTTGCGTGTTTCAATGTTGCAATTGCACAAGCTAGCTTTCACTCGAATGCAGGAATGGCTGGTCTGGCAGACGCGCGCTGGGTCGCACTGGCGCTCTTGCCCTTGACCGTCTTGAGGCTAAAACCCTTGTTGAACGTCGAGCTCCTGTACCCTGTCGTCTGTGCGCCATCCTCCGCTGGTTGCTCTCCTGTGCTGGGTGCTGGATGCGGGCGCGCAGGAAGGGGAGGCAGGCTGATGGGTTTGCGCACCTTGACGCAGCACAGCAAAAAGAACGCCACGAGATACATCCCTGCGCCCACGATAAAGATGGCCGGAGGGAACGTCTTTGTGGTGCGTCGGAAGACCTCTGCAAACAAGATGGGGCCTACGACGGTACCCGATATGGCCGAGGTGATGCTCCACGCGCCAAACAGCTTGCCGGCATCGGCGGGCGACTTGAGCAGCGCCAACGCGAGGGACGACATGGCCGCACCGCCTCCTCCACCCAGCGCCGTGATGGCCGTCGAGAGGAAAAACGTCTCGGGCGTACCCGAAAAGACAAGCAGCACGTACGAGAGCGTGTTGACGGTCACCGAGATCTTGGCGAGCTTGAGGTCGAACTTGCTGTCGTGGATGAGACGCAGGTGTTTGGCACGCAGCGTCCACAACTCCTCGACCGACTTTTTCGTGGCATCCCACTCTGCCTCTTCGCCTTGCTCGTTGGTCGAGCGAGAATCGTCCATGGTGCCGTACCCACTGGTGCCACGGTGCAGGCGACCTTCGTCGTCGAGCATCGACTGCCGACGCGAGTCGGGCGCGAGTGTCTGCTCCTCCTCGACGGCAGGCCCATCTTGCGGCAGGCGCAACGCCTTGACGGGTCGATGGAGGAACTTGATCGCAACGGGCAGGATGAAGGTGAGCGCGAGGACGCGCGTGATGCTGAGGAAGGTGAGGTACATGCCGAGCTCGGCGGAGCCCCAGATGAAGCGCTCCTGTGCGTACTGCATCTTGAACGACATGATGCCAAACACGGCGGTCTCGGTAAAGTAGGTGAGCGAGAGGAAGGAGAGGTTGTAGTCGTAGCGCGTCGTGGGCGGAACGCGCGAGACCGAGATGTGCGACGCAGACGCCTCGGGTGGCGCGAGACCTCTTGGCGTACCTGCACCGCTGGCCTGCGCAGCCTCGTCGTCTTCATCTGCCACCACCACTTTCTTGGGCAGGAGGAAGCTGAGCGGCTCGAGTGGCGCATAGAGGACGCTGCCCATGAAAGCGACCTTGACGCGCTTCCATACGCGCCTGTTGAAGGGACGATGGTCGCCTTCCCAGTCGCGCGAGTTGAGCAGTGGCTGCAGCTCGGCCGTTTTGCGCGCATCAGCCTTGCGCTTGATCTCTGCGCGAGACTCGATGTACTCTTTACGCGCCTTTTCGCGGAAGTCCTTGTTGGTACTTTCGGGGATGAAGGTAAAGATGCCGAGGACATAGAGCAGATGCATGGCGAGTGCGAACCAGAAGGGTGCGAGGATGTTGTTTGTATGCTTGACGATGAGGCCGCCCAGCGTGGGACCGACGGCAAGACCGAGGTAGACGATGCCCATAAAGTGAGCAAAGATGTGTGCGCGTGTGCCGCTCGGGGTGACGTCCGAGATGTACGACTGGTGTACGGCGATAGCGGCGCTATATCCGCCGAGCAAGCCTTCGACGGTGGTGCCGAGGACGAGGAAGCTGTAGCCAAAGGGGAGTTTGGAGCGCGGGACGAGAGCGGCGGTGAGGATGACGAGGTCGGTGAAGACGATGCCGGCCATCGAGATGCGAAGCACGGGGAGGCGACCGATTCGCGACGAGAGGTTGGACCAGAAGCCTGTGGTGAGGGCGGCGAGGATGCCCATGGAGAGGGTCATGCGAAGCTGGAGCGTGGCGAGCGAGGACTGCACCTCGGGGCTGGCGAAGCACGCCTTGCTGGGACGGCGTGGGACTGGGATGACGGTCGAGTTTGGAGTGGAGTTTGGAGCCTCGAGACTTGCCATGTACTGCTTCACGGCGTCGTTGTCGGCGGCGGCGTCGGCGGAGGCGTCGAGCGACCAGGGCTGAAAGCGTGCCAAGTGAGCGGCCGAGTGGGACAACGGCTGCGCAAGGGACGAGTGCAGCGCGCTGGCATTGGTGGGTGGTTGGGGCGCAATGATGCCTCCGCCGCCGACGTAGCTGTCGCCGAGGACGGTCTCGCAGACAAACATGTTGAGCAGCTCGAGCTTGGGGCCCATGCACATGCCGCCGGCCATGGAGATGACTAGGGCAAAGGGGCGGAGCCACTTTTCGGATGGCCTGCGATACCAGGGCTCATGCTTGAACCACAGCAGATGGTCATCGACCGGGGCCTCTTGGGAGTCTGCGCCGGCTGCCGAGTTGTCAGGGTCGCGCTGTTGCTCTTGCGCTTCGTCGTCGAGGCGGTAGAGCATATCGGCGACGACGGGGTTGGTGGAGTCGATCTCGAGTTCGCCGCCTAAAGGTCGCGAGATGGGGAAGGACTCGGGCGGAGCCGATGATCCGGCGCTGACTGATCGCTTCATGGCTGGCGGCTGGAGATTGGCTTGGGCGCGTTTGGCGGCGCGCGAGCGGCGTTCCTGTTCCATGACGTGGCGGGGAATGGAGGGCGAAGAGACGCTGGAAGACGACGAAGCCAGGGAAGAGTCGCTCATGGCGCGCACGTCGCTTTCGGAGAGTCGAGAGCCGTTGAGCGTGACCATGAGCTCGGGTGATGGAGCAGCGATGCAGAGAAGTCCGCGCACGTCGTTGGCATCGCTTGTTGAGAACGGTGCAGAGTAGGACCAGATGGCGGCGGTGAGCCGCTCTACGGGCTGTCCAGACAGCGTTACATCAAAGTACTGAGCGAAGCCCTTGTAGGGGCAGAAGGTTTCGTCGCGCTCGCTGGGGACGAGCGAGAATGGAGGCTGGACTGCTTCGGGCGGAAAGTAGAAGCGGAGCGGGTAGTTGGTTTCGGCCAGCTCGACAGCTTTGTCGGTGTAGACGAGGGTGTGTACGTGGCCGTTGACGCTTGTGGTGATCTTGAGCGTGCTGGTGGAGGGAGTGGTGACAATGCGATGGGGAGGCTTTGAGCCCGAGGTTGGCTGAGACTTGGACGCCATGGCCATGATCAAGCAGCAAGCGCCATGCGTGCGGGGTGTTGGAGGCGATAAGGAGAGTGGAAGCAAGAGGTCAAGGAGTGCGACAGGGTCTTGTTGTGGAACGCTGCAGGCCGCGTGGCTCGGATGGCGCCGCGCCGAGTGCTGCTGCTGATAGAGAGGTGCAGCTCGCAGCCAACGAAGTGGAGAAATTGCCGATTGCCGCGCCGGCGTCGGCTACAAGATCGGCTTAGCCGCGCTCCCCCTTCTCTCGCGCCCATCGAGTGCCGCGGCCACTTTGCATTTTTCGCAGCTCAGTACCAGCCGTCGCGGCTACCCTGTGTCTGGCAGGCACGTTACCCATAACGATCCGTGCAGCGCTTCCCGGAATGCACATGTGACTGCAGTCAGCATCGATGCTATTCAGTCCCCCTTCGTGGGAAGGAATGGTCCGCGGACGGAAGTTCCGACTCGCAAAGGACGGGCGAGAAAGTCGCGGAGATTAGCGCGCTGACACATCCCCGATGTTGGCATGCGCGCGCGTCCAGATATTGCCGCGCAACCAGATTGGACTGCCATTGGCACACTAAGATCGGGCCACGAGTGTTGGATGCGCGGATGCTCGGAAGACGCCGAAACAACAGCAGCAAGCCAAAACGCTCAGGGCAGCGCGCCGGACGCAAACGAGACGCTGTGACTTTGGGTGATGTCTTGTGACCTTGATAAGGGGGCTCTTATTGCTTGACGTCCTCCTCCAACGAACACCCGAACCTATCAACTCGAACATCGCTAGCATCGTCGCCACTATGGACCAGCAAGATCTTCAGCTCTTGGCGACCGAGAAGCACGAGTTGCTTCACGCTGCTCAAGAGGCGAGGAAGCTCTCCTACTCTCCCTACAGCAAGTTCCGCGTAGGAGCGGCGCTGCTCACCAAGTGGGGCGAGATCATCCTCGGCGCCAACTACGAGAATGCGTCGTATGGCGGCACCGTGTGCGCCGAGCGTACGGCGCTCGCCAAGGCGCTCATTCGCAGCGATGCGCTCGACGTGCCCGAGACCGGCTCGGGCCGCAAGGTGTCGCGCGGCGACATCATCGGTGTGGCTGTAGCGAGCGATCTCGAGGGCAGCTGCAGCCCGTGCGGAATCTGCCGCCAGGTCATCCGTGAACACTGCAGCCTCAACGCACGCATCCTCATGGTCGGCTGCAACTGGTCCAAGGCTACCGCGCAGCAGCCCTCGCCAGCCGCTGTCACAGACCAGGGCGGAAAGGAACTCAACGAGCCCAACGTCGAGGTCGTCACTCTCGACTACCTCTTGCCCATGAGCTTTGGCCCCGAAGACCTCGACAAGCCCAGGCAGTCCTCATGACAGCAGTGCAATTGAAAGAATGTGGCGCCAGAATACACTGCGATCCGACTCGAGCTTGAGCGTGTCAGCGTTTCTTGTTCTTCTTGCCTGCGGGGCTGCGTCCAGCCTGCGGGAGCCAGTCCTGGTCGACGTTCGGATTGCGCACCGCGCTCGTGCTCGCCTGGCTTTGGGATTGGGCTCGGGCAATCGACGCTTCGATCTCTTCCGCCGACACCTGCTCGCCCGCGCGCATCCTCGCTGCGATCTCGGGCGTCACCGCCACGCGCTTCACTCCAGTCTCTACAGTCGCGTTCCAGCGTTTGAGTGAAGCACAAGTTAGTACCACAGCTCCGAACACCGGGTTCATAGCGAAAGAAAACTTACGGAAACCGGGAGCACCACGACCAAGGCCTGTCTTGGGATCGTACTTGCCCGTGTAGCCGCGCTTGCTGCCTGCGCCGAAGAAGCGCGATGCCACCGCACCGACGATGATGAGCGGTACAAGCACCGACGGTATGCTGTGTGTCACAGAATGGTTCGAAGGGTCAGCGGCTGCAACAAGCACGCGTAAGCTTGGGCGGCTTGCGATGACTCACAGGATCCAGCTTGACATAGTGGCAGAGGAGAGAGAGAGAGAGAGCGGCGATAAGTGGATGTGGTGTTGGTGTGGAAGAGAGGGGGGTGCGGTTGCAATTGAGCTCTGCAAGGTCAAAAGCGCGATTCCGGCGAAATGGGAGCCAACACTTCTTCGCGCCTCCACCGCAATCCAACTCGGCTCCGCATCCTGCTTCCAACACCTGCCACCACCTGCGACTCTTCAGCGCCATCCGCACCATGTCGGCACCCACGCTGCCCGGTGCGCAAGCGGGACCCTCTTCGCAGCCTGCTGCTGCTTCCGTACCGGCAGTGCCTGCCTCCCAGCGCGCACGCGAGATTCAAGATGCGCTCAAAGCCATCGTCCTCCAAACCGCCTCCACGCTGCGCGCACGCAACCAGCAAGCTCGCCTTCCCACCTCGGTCGCCTCCTCCTCGGTCCCTGCAGCCACATCCATCAGCGAGTCGTCGGTGAACCTCGAGCAGCTTACCGGCGAGTGCACGCGCTACCTCTCGCTCGTGCACGGCCTGCGCGACTACCTGCTTCACGCCCAGGCTGCACTCGAAATCGAGCTCGAGGCGGCCACCCAGCGCGAGGCACAGGAAGCCAAGATCGCCGCAGAGGCGGCAGCCGAGGCACTTCAGCGTCAGCAGGAAGCCGAGGCGGACGCGCAGAGGAAAGCTGCGGAAGAGGCACAGACCAAGGCGGAGCCGGATGCGGTGGCCAGTGCAGTTGCGAGCAAAGACGCAAAGAGCGAGGAGGCTGGTGGACATGCAGATAAGAAGGAGGGAGATGAGGATGACTCGATGGTATCAACGCCGCCGCTGCCGCCAGCGGAGCGGACGGAGCGGGCGGATGTGGCTGCACATACGGCAACAACAGGAAAGGCGGGAGAGGCGGCAAAGGACGCGATCGTGATCGACAGCGACGGGGACGACGACGAAGACGACGTGCCGCTCGCATTCGCTCCCAAGCCAGGCGCTGCCATCGACCTGACCGACTCGCCTGCCCTGGCGAATGCCCCCAAGCCTTCCACATCCGCAACCGACGCAGCTTCCACCTCGACTGCGCCCACACAAGCCGGCACCGATCCCGCACCCACCCACGCTTCCGCGCCTCCGGCTACTGTACCCAACACCGTAGCAGGGATCGACCTGTCGGCGCTGGGCATCAACCTTTCCTCCCTCAACGACCTTGCCGATCTATCTTCGCTGGGCATCCCCGCACTTGGCGGTTCCACCTCTGGCGATACGACCGCACTCGCGCCCGCAACCGACTTTTCCGAGCTGGAAAAGATGATGGGCATGGGCTTTCCCACCTCTTCCGCCCCGGACGCCTCGACCGCCGCACCGGATCTCTCCTCGCTCGGCAACTTCAACCTCGGCAGCACCGGATTCGGCGAGGACACCGACATGTTCGGCGCGGGCACCGGCGCGATTGATCTGAGCAACTTTGACTTTTCCAGCCTCACCGCCGGCACCACCGATGCCGGAGCAGCAGACGCCGGTGTAGACCTCAGCTCGTTCCTCACCAACTTTAACCCCGCCCAGCTGGATGGTAGTGCGGCGGGGAATCAGGAGGGTGCGGGATCGTAATGCATTCACAGTGATCGGCTTGTGCGTTGGCGTGATGACATGCGTGAGATAGAGAGAGGCACGTCAATCGCTGTTGCCCAGTATCTGCACATATACAGCTGCAGAAGGGAGGTTGATATCTGCGGCCATAGAACCTTGAAAGCAC